GAGAGAGAGTTGCACACTAAATCGCGGGCATGACGCCCGAAAGAGGTACTCAAATCGCACTATGCTGGTGGGCTGACGCTCGCTGTCTCTGATAGGCTTGCTCTGCTTTACATGCCCACATATTTTTGTGGGCACTGGTAAAGTAGAGAAGACAGCAGTCACTCAGCTCAAATGATGGTCAACGGACAGACGGCATTGTGTGCAAAGCAGACGATAACGAGCGAAAGAAGGATGTGATGTCATGAGCAGTGGCAATGCAGATGTGATGACGGTCAGGGGCAATCCTTGTCCTCTCACTAAAGAGAGGGCAATCCTTGTCCTCTCACTAAAGAGAGGGCAATCACTGGCAACGATAGTATCGCAGAAGTACTTAGAGGTCTGAGTAGACTGCACTGTTCTCAGGGTAGAAAGCACAAAGACATTCTTAAACTCCATTTTGGAAATTCTTACCAATAGGCAAGCTAAGATATGTAGCACCGGGAGCCGCAGAGGTAAGTGTAATCAATCAGCTGTCAGTCAACCGGTTGCTGAAAAGAGCGAGTGCACAGTCCGTACTTCAAGAGAACTAGGGGAAAATGTTCTTTGTAATGACAAATTGAATTTTTCTGACACACTAAACAGTTCAGGAGAAAGCAAAGCCACTGACTAAAGCTGAATTTGTACTTTTAGTGCTAAAAACAAATCAATATCTTTCCTGAACGCTAGGGCGTTGTGATCCATTGACTGTTTGCACATTTTGTTTCAGGTTTGCATTGCGTTGGCCTTCCAGCACCAGCCACACAACAACAACGGCTCCTAATGACTGAACGACCCAAATTTGTGACCCGCGACGAGTACGGTGCAGTGACTACAATATCGATCACACCGCCACCGATTCAATTCGACGAACGGCAACCTAAAAGAGTACCTAAAATAGAAAAGAAAACTATACTAAAAACCACAGTTTGGTGAAGGGAGCTGAATTTTAAAATTTTGAGCTGTTTTTAAGGATTAGAACTGACTCAATTTAAACATTTTTCTGGAACTGNGCCACACAACAACAACGGCTCCTAATGACTGAACGACCCAAATTTGTGACCCGCGACGAGTACGGTGCAGTGACCACATTATCGATCACACCGCCACCAATTCAATTCGACGAACAGCAACCTAAAAGAGTACCTAAAATAGAAAAGAAAACTATACTAAAAACCACAGTTTGGTGAAAGGAGCTGAATTTTAAAATTTTGAACTGTTTTTAAGGATTAGAACTGACTCAATTTAAACATTTTTCTGGAACTGTTTACGGCAATTTTAAGGTGCCCCCCTTGCCCAGCCCTTCTACCACCTTCCACCACACCAGCAGGCATCCCAGGCTTATCAATTGCACTTGCCACCCGTTGATGATAAGTGGCTACCAAAATACATTGCACCAATCTCTCACACTGCTTCTGTCACATCACATCATCCCCTTGGCTTATCACAGTGCGCACAGACTTTGAGCCAGCAGTTCGACCTAAAAGTCGCACTGTCAGCAGGATCGTAGCAACCAACACATCATCGTCTACTCGCCATTCGCCGCCGGTGATTACGTCTAACTCACTCGACAGAGACACAGTGTCCGTCGCCATAATCAAGGGTCACCATCAGCCTTGCATTTTATTTTCAATTTGGCGCAGCATATCATATGTTACATTTATGTACAAAAAGTCATTGCAGAGATAGTGAGAGTAGAGAAAGTAGAGAACTAGTGAAAGCATGTACTGCACGCTGTTATCGACCAGCGACGACTTCTACCGTCGCCGTTTTGTCTGCTGATTACCAGCACCAGCAGNAGATAGTGAGAGTAGAGAAAGTAGAGAACTAGTGAAAGCATGTACTGCACGCTGTTATCGACCAGCGACGACTTCTACCGTCGCCGTTTTGTCTGCTGATTACCAGCACCAGCAGCAGAGGCGGCAGCAGCAGCAACGACAGCACCTCCTCCACCGACTGCTCCGTTGCTGGCATTGTTAATCTGCCTGATCACCGTAAAGTTGTCCTGATCAAAGACCTTGCCCTGATACTTGGCGGACAGTTCGCCGATAAAGTTGCGCTTCAGCGTCTGCAGACACTTGCGATAGGTGCGACTGCTGCGGTACTTGGCAATGTCAAAGGACGGTGCGTGGGGCATGTGAATGATGAAAGCATTGGGCAGCACGATGAACTCGTAGTTCTGTGCGTACAGCTCCATGATGTGCGACACCTTGTTCCAGCCGAAACCGACAAAGCGCGCATCGTAGAGGGCGACGTCCTTCCGTACCACCAGGTACGGCTCAAAGTCCACCGCCCACTTGATGCGGTACGGCGTGGTGGCCGTCCTCCACTTCGCAAAGTTGCTCGGCGCGTGCCCCTGCGGCCAGACGTGGTAGCGAAAGGTGAAGAGCGTCCCGTAGTTGAGCATGTTCAGCAGCTCCGCCTTGCTCTTTGGAAAGGGAATCCGGTAGAGGAGCGTCTCAAAGGCCGGCACGACGAGGCCCTTCCGGCTCTCGGACATGCCCACCTGGGCGACCGATCGCTTCAGGTACTCATAAAGGCCGGCCATGGGCAGAAAGTCAATGTCGCTGAGGAAGACGTAGGGAGTGGTCACCTGGGCGAGGGCGACATTGCGCAGTTTGTTGATCGGATAGAAGGGCCCGTCTCGGTAGACGATGTGATAGCCAATGTTCTTCCGTTCAGAGAGCGTCTTGGAGGCCTGTGCGTAGCCCAGAAACTGCTGCACCTCACTGTCGGACATGTACATGGCCAGGGAGACGGGGCCGTTCCACTGCTCCAAGAGCGCCTCCACCATTTGCAGCCGGTCCATGGACAGCTGGGCGACCAAGGTGACGTCATTTCCATCCGGCGAGGGCTCGTACTGAAAGTCAATGTAGTACAGGTGAGTTCGGTGTTCAATGAGGTGAGCGCGGTTGAACTCGTAACATGGCTCGTCTTCGTCACTGGACGAGCCTCCTCCTCCTCCTCCGCCTGCTTTAGCTCCCTCAAGCAGCACAGCTCTGGAAGAGTTTGCGCAGCCAATCAATTCTCGGCGAAGCAGGTTGCCATCATATTCGAGAAAGGTCAAGTAGAGGTTTCTAAAAAACTCCAAATGCTTGTTCTTAACTTTGAGCTTCTTTGGCGAATTCCAGTGAATAATCTTCAAGTCCTGCACGTCAGTGTAGCACAGCGCATCGGAGAGTGTATTATCAGACAGCTGAACGTTCCACTGGCACGGCAGGTTGTAAATCAAGTACGGGTACTGCTTGATAACGGCGTTGAAAATGTCCTGATCAGCCAGTGAGGTCGACAGCATGGACAGCAACTCCTTCTCAGCGACCATCTTCCATATTGCACTCCAGTTGAACTCTCGCAGCTTCCCTAGCTTCAGCAGCATGACCCCGGTGTTGAAGCCACGTCCTAAAGCCGGCCATGGCCTGTGATTTTTCCACAACTTGCCCAGATACCAGTCAGACTGGTTCTCCACCAAGCCAATTGACTTGTAGGTCATCTTCCAGAATAGCTTCCACAGTTCAGCTATATCAGTGGCAAAGGTGATGTCGGTGTCGAGGACGATCACCTTGTCAAGTGACTCTGGAAGCACTTTAGGCAGCACCAGCTTCATCAGCCCGTAGATGCCTGAGTAGTGTTTGTTCGGTATCCAGTTGACATCTGACTGCAACGTCTCCGCCAAGTAGAAGCTAACTTCCACCTCGGGAATTGACCACGTCTTGAAAAGCGTCTCTAGAGTTAACGAGGCAGTACTATCGACGATAAAGTGAAAGTGCAAGGGGTTCTTGCGATAAAAAAGAATAGACTTGATGAGCGTCACTACTGCCCGTGAGGAGTTGTAGCCAGCACAGACAATGGCCACTTCGATCACTTCGCATTTAGGCACAATTATTTGAGATTCACTTTCAGCCTTTGAGTCGGAGCAGTTACTACCAGCTGCCGATTCGTGAAGCTTTCGCTCTATGACCTTGGCTGATTGGTCCGACGATTTGGCTTCCTTCCGATGATCTTCCTTGTGCTTTGTTTCGGTGATAAAGTTAACCAACCGTTGGCGGCTGATTCCGAGTTGGCGGCGGAGAAAAAGGTTCTGCTGTTCCACCTCTTTGACGCGTTCTGCGAGCTTCACTTCGCGATCGGTAAAGGTGAGAAAGGTGTTGGCGCCATTGTGAGTGGCTCTGCCCCGGTACTGGTCGCCCGGACTGAGTTGATTGTCTGGTTGCCATCTTAGAAGGCGATTGTACAGTAGAAAACTGGTTGGAAGTGCACAGATAAAGACGAGGAGCCATAGTTTGAGGCGATTTCGCCGTTTTACGGCCATCATTTAACAGTTGGCGAAAAGGATTCAGACTTTAAACAAGTCCATGATAAGGGTTCTAAATCCAAGAAACCATTACTCTCAAGTAATTTCACTTGAAGCATCTACTTACTTTTTCTCACAGTAAAGTGTATATTGCATAATTATTCCATAGACAAAAGAGACCTCACATTGCAATTAGCAATAAAATCTACAAGGGATATAAAAATAAATTATCAGTTGAGATAATTTTTGAAATGACTCACCAAAAATAAGTTTTACTACTTTGTCGGCTGATCAAAGAAGCCGCCGTTGAGAGCAAATCATTATTACATAAACTTTTTTGTGCCTTTTCTTGTGTAATCAAGCACAAGATTACCGCATGTTGAGATAGGAGATAGAAGGACTAGATCGGTGACAGATATCCGCAAGAACAAATAATGAAGCAGAAGAAACGCCAAACAATCGGCTGGACTTTTGTTTACATTCAGCGGCTACTAGAACTCGCTGTGTAAATAGATACTTGACAGTTCTTTCAGGATTTTCCTTATCCAAAACTTCCTTGATGTAACTTGGGTACACTTTCTTGATGTAGTAAATTAGTAATATGAATTTAAATAAAAAATTATATATTGATGAACTGAAAATTGAAGATAAATCGGCGCAACCCACTGTGGTTGAGTTAACCGAAGAAAATTTTCAATCTCACATTGGTTCGTATTTGGAGAATTCAACGATGAGGCACTTACCTTTCTTTCTTTTGTTTGCAGATCGGTATGATTTGGTGGTGATCGTCTTTTACGTCGACACTTGTAAATTCAGTCAGAAATGGAATGGTGTACTAGAAGATATTGTCGATCGAGCGGCAGTGGAGTTTGATGTATGTGCAAACAGGTGGATTTCTGTTATCATAGTCTTACGATTCTTTACGATTCTTTTCAGAACAAAGTCCTTTTAGGCCGCGTAAATTCTGAACAGCAAGAATCTCTTTCCAATCGTTTTAACATTTCCTTCTATCCATCGGTTCACTTTGTACTCCATCAGCAGATTTATCGCCTCAAATATCGCGATCTCTGCTCTGTGGAGGCGATTCTTGGCAGAATTCGATCACTTTTGGCATATGATCCAGTACGCCTGGCAAACGATTACTCTGATTACGAGCACATTGACGTCAACGAGGCAGCCATAATTGCCTATTCTGGGGTCGAATTTTCGGTTCAAGACAGTCAGTACGAAAAGTATCGTCAGTGTGCCGTTCACTTGAATCATATCGCCACTTTCTACTGGGCCTACGGCGAGCTTGCCACTGATCTTCGCTCGATCATGGACAGCCAACACTCACTTGTGATCACTTACAAGCCACCTGGAAGCACTCCGATGGACTCAATGCACTGGGGACTTAAACTAGACAATATCATCACTGTCGATAGCTTTACTCAATGGGCGGCTAACCAAGAACTTCCTCTTCTTCAGCATCACACAATCGACAATCCACTCATTTTCAAAAGCTCATTTGATTCTAAACTTTTACTTCTTCTCTACTACGACGACCCAG